CCCGGGATGCCCCATTAGCTGCTCACCCAAGCTGCTAGTGCCTGAGGCTAATGGCCCTGCCACCCCGCCCTCCTCTCTTCCAGCTCACTGCCCATCCCGGGCATCCTCCGGCAACCCAGTGAGGGGACTCCTGAGCCTCAGAGACATCTGGCAGTACCAAGAGGTGAGTCCCTCTTTCTGTGGCTCCTCTTCTCACCAATGATCCCCCAGGTCCCCTGCCTGGGGTGTCCCCTGAGATCTGCTAAGTTCCTCCCCTATGACATGGATGGGACGTGGCTTACCCTGGGCTCTCCCCTGGGGACCTCCTCTGCTCCCTGTAGTTCATATCCAAGCCCAGGGTCCTCCCTCACCTCTGCAGCTGCCCTGTGGGCTCCCCACTGGCAGGGAGTGAGCTTGGGAGTGGGACCAATCCCCAAGGAAGCCACTCTGACCTCTCTAAACCCCTTCCCTCCCCAGAGCCTAAGGGAGCCAGAGGCCGTCCACCCTCCGTGACTGCATGCCTGGCTGTTTTTTCCTGTTACCACACGGCTGTCCTCTTCTTTGCAAGAGGTGACATGGTGGAAAGACAGCTGAGTCCTTGCTGCTGATCCTGGCTCCACGGCTGCCTGGCTGCCACCTCCTTCAGCGGCCTCGGTTTCCTCTGCCTCACCCCAGGCAGCACTGAAGCCAGCTCTCTGGTGGCGATCTGAAGACCAAGTGGGACCAAGCGGAGTGCAGGAGCGGCTGCCTCATGAACCTGCCTCCGCAGCTCTCCTTCGCCCTGTATGTGGCCGCCTTTGCCCTGGGCTTCCCGCTCAATGTCCTGGCCATCAGAAGCGCGGCTTCCCACGCCCGGCACCGCCTCACTCCCAGCCTGGTCTACGCCCTCCACCTGGGCTGCTCTGATCTCCTGCTGGCCATCTCTCTGCCCCTGAAGGCCGTGGAGGCCCTGGCCTCAGGGGTTTGGCCTCTGCCGGTCCAGCTGTGCCCCGCCTTTGCCCTGGTCCACTTTGCCCCGCTCTACGCTGGCGGGGGCTTCCTGGCTGCTCTGAGCGCCGGCCGCTACCTGGGCGCAGCCTTCCCCCTGGGCTACCAAGCCCTCCGGCGGCCGCGCTACTCCTGGGGCGTCTGCGTGGTGATATGGGCCCTCGTCCTGTGTCATCTGGGGCTGGTCTTTGGGTTGGAGGCTCCGGGAGGTTGGCTGGACAACACCACCAGCTCCC